ATAGGCAGGATATTGGCAAAGCGTTGAATTTCCTGGAAAAAAAACGTTGCTTCGCTTGAAAAAGAAATTCAAAGGTAAAAATTTTCAGATAAAAGTGATGTAAATTGTAAAAGCCCTTTTCAGAAAGCACACCTTTTTTAGGAAGGTGAAGAGGTCATAAAGAAAATATTTAGGTATGAGGTTCTAAAAGTTAAACTTTGGGAAATGGAAAAAGTGACTATTGGGCATTCAAAAACATGTTCATAAATATTCTCAAAATAATGTTTCATCTGTGGGACGCAAGAAAAACCGCATAAAAGGTGTACAAAAAATCAAAACTTTGTTTATACTTCTAGTTTCTCTGGACCATTATTGTTAGATGAGCTTCAGAAAAATAATGTATCAGAGTGAAACATATGTCTGGCTGCAAAAATATCACAAATTCGTAATTTTTACCTTCGAGAAATTTTTACAGAAAATGTATTTTTGTTAATCGGTGTTACTTGAAGTATACATTATTATCAACTTAACATCGATACAAGCTTGAAAAACAATCGTTTGTAATCACAAGGCAGTACCAAAAAGCGCTTATAGACTATAAAAACTGATTTCATTCATGTTTCTAGTCTGTCTATTTTTTCTAAGCAAATTGATTTCAAATGGTTATCAAAAAATTATTCTAAAAAAATTATTACAGTCAAATTGTACATCCAACAAGTTAGATAATAAAAAATGCATGATATGCCTGATGTGCTTGAACAACAGTTGATTGGACTTTTTTAAAAAAATTTTGGCGCACAATTTCTAGCCTTTCAAAATATTCACTGCAAAACTGAAAAAAATATTATCTCAAAAGAATCACGGCAAAACTAGGAAGTAAACTATTTTCAATTTTTTCATCAATGCTTTGTGCGAATTGAACCAGTTACTTTTATGCAGATATGCGTTCAGGCATTTTTACAGCATTTTGACGCTCCCCTGTGAAAAAATTGCATTCCAAGCAAACTTGTTACTGCTAATAATAATTGTTCTCCACGGCTTGCTAAGCTATTTCTGTACTGCTTTGATTACAGTATATCTGGCGTTGATCGTCTTTTTAGTGCCGATTGAGAAGCGAGTTGTAAAGGTCACGCCGCAATGAGGTATTGATAGATGAACGAGGCTGAGTGTAACAGAAGAGGGGAGAGGAAAATCCGAGACTCTGAGCGGATAAGCAAAGGATGGAGGAAAAAGGGGATGAAGAAGATTTTGAAAAAAATTAGGAAAATCCCAAAGGCATGTGGTGGAATGTAGAAAAAATGGCGGAAAAAAGAGTTTATGGAAGCGGATCTTACAAGAAGAAAAACAAGAAAAATCGGATGCAAAACTTACATTTATCACTGCCTGAGTGTAAGGCAAGCGAGGTCGATCCGCTAAAGTTACCCTACTGCCCATGCATTGATTATCGAGTTCTTCTTGAACTTTTCTTTGAATTTCTGGATGACAAGCAGCCATCAGAAAACCCCATTTTAAAGTGGTTACGGTGGTTTCCATGCCAGCAAAGAATAAATCCAAAAGGAGCATTTTCATCTGCCAATCACTAAAAAAATTCAGATCAGAAAAGACTGCTCGAAGAAGTATAAACGTACTCAAAATAGCCCATATCGCTGCCTATTTGTCGTCGATTTTCCATTTCTCGCATATAAGTAAATGTAAAATCATCTTCAATGGCATCACCGCGAGCAAGCCTTAATCTATGGTCCTAAATGGAAATCTTACCACTTTCTGAATAAAGACTGATTTCGAAAATGTGATTTTAAAGTCCCACATCGATTTGTTTCTGAAGAAAATCGTAAAGCTGGTTGCGAATAGTCATCAAATCAGTCCATTTTCCATTTAGGAGAGGAATGTCTGTGGTCCATGGAGCAGCAATGTAAAGACCCATTATAGGATTTATTACAAGCCTTGATTGTTTGTCCAGGAGCGAATGAAGATGGTGCATTTCGGCTGACCCCTGTAAATAATCAACTGAGCAAGGTAGTGCAACAATAAGCAATTTATAGTAAATAATCAGAGTGCAAATCGACAATCTAAAAGGTTTA